TAACTGTTAAGGGGGTCTACCCAACCCTAAACCCTGAGCCACTCTAACCCACCACACGGATGCTCAACGCACTTGCGCAGTGGCGGAGTGTCGTTTTCCCCACGCGGGGGGCTAAGGGAGGAATCATAGCCCCATTATCAAACCCAAAGCCCTAAACAAACCCTAAACCCTAAAGCCCTACACCCTAAACCCTAAAGCACAAACACTCTCACAGTTATCGAGCTCAGGTGAAGCAGCCCGCATGGTTTCCATCCTGTACGGTGTTGTCAACGTGGCTTCGTTCAGTATCTTAGGACCTTTGGGTTGAGGGTTGAGGTTTTAGGGTTAGAGTTTAGGGTTTAGGGTTTAGGGGGTTTTGTGGTAGTGTTTTTTTTGGGAGGTTTGGGGGTTCAGGGTTGGTTTGAGCTCGTGGCTGTGGGATGTAGGGCTCCGGAGGTAGGTTCTTGTGGCTTTGAGTGCGTTGCTCAGTTTCAGGGCAAGATTGGGGTTTAGGCTTCGGGTTTAGGCGGGTTTAGGGTTAGGGTTTATGCAGTCTTGCATGCGGCGTAGTAGAAGCACAGGCAATACTCAAGCCTTAACCCTCTGAACCTCCCCAAGTCCCAAACCCTAAGCCCCAAACCCAGTTAGGGAGTTAGGGATGGGGGGTTAGGGTGTAGGGTTGGGGGTTTGGGGTCTCGAGCTTTTTGGCCTTTTCATTTTATCTTCAGCTTTTCGCTGACAGTTTAGATTCCTTACTCCAGGAAAGGTGGACTGGCTCATTTGTAGGGTTCAGCTGCAGGGGGCGGGAATTAGGAGTTCTGCCCAGGGATGTGTGATTTTGGCGTCTGTTGGCTTACATGTCGGATTTCTACAGGACCTCACACGCCTCCGTGGGTTGGAGATGAAGCACTTCGCCCCATCGACCCACTCTCCCACCTCAGACCCTACACCCCAAGCCTTAAACCTGTGTATAGCCCTAAACCCTAAACCCTGAACTCTGGCTTACCCCATAGGTCGACAGCGACAGCTACTGGGAGTACTTGGTTCCTGTGGCGGCTGGAACCTTCTGGTGGCTTTGAACTGACTTGGCGCATGGGACACTTAGGGTTTCGGGTTTCGGGTTTCGTGGGTTTACGCCCCGAACTCGGACCCAGAACCTGAGGACATTCGAGGCTGTAGGGCTCCGAGGCTCTAAGCAACGGGGTGTAGGTGTTGCAGACATCCAAGTGGTGATGTGTCGAGGTTCGTCCGACAGCACAGAAAGACTTCTGTCATTGGAATCCCTCCCACAACCCTGCGCGCCAAACCTTGGATCCTAAACCCTAGACCCTAAACGGCTTTTCAACTCGGAGTCAATCTTGGAACACAGCCCACAAAAACCCCGACATCCGAAAATTCCCCTTAATCCTACACCCTCAACCCTTCGGTTTAAAGTTCTTACGCTCCAAACCTCAAGCCCGCAAAAGCCTCCTGAGGAACATTGTGGCGCGGACGGGACTGTTGGATAGGCCGTGCGCCAACCCAAAACCCTAAATCCCTAACCCTCCCACCCCAAAACCCCCTAGAACCAAAGAAGCCCTTAAACCCTAAACCCTAAACCCTAAACCCAAATAGAAATCAAAAGCTAACAGGGGGCACTCAGTCGCCGAAACCCGACACACCAAGCGTTCAAAAGCCACCAAGCCCCAAGGGGGGTTTAGGGGTTTGCCTTAAAAATCCGAGAACCCCAAAAAAACCTCCAAAAGGGTCTGCAGGGTTTCTTCTATAAACCCTAAGCCCTCCCTCTAAACCCAGAACGCTTCAACTTAAACCCTGGAGTCCGAACATCATGTGGCGTGGAGTTTGAAGGTTCCAGTTTTTCTAAGTCCCACAAGGTGCGCTTTCGGGATTCGGGTTTCTGAGCCTTACGCTAAACCCTCAACCCCCTTAAATCCCTAAACCCTAAGCCTCTAAAGGGATACCATCCTCGGCCACTCTGTGCGGCTCCATGCTCTGGGGGTTCGAGTCCACCGCCCCAAAGCCATCAACCCTCCTCAGCCGTAAAACCCTCTTAAGCCCCTTGAAAGGATTCCAAACCCTGAAACCCCTATGCCCTCCAGCTGCCAAGTGACAGCCTGGGGGATCCTAACCTTCAGCCCCAAAGGCCCAAAGGCCCAAGGCCCCAAAGCCCCAAAGCCGTAAGCTCTAAGCTCCAAGCTCTTAGAGACCGCGCTTTGGGAGGCTTTGGGATGTGATGACGTGCGGCTGGCTGGCCCCCTCGCGGTGTAGGCCTGCGTGTACGGACCCTAAACCCCAAACCCTAAGCCGGCGCGACACTTCGAGTCCTATAGACACTGAGTCTCAACCACAGGCCCCAAACCCCAAACCCTGAACCTTGAACCCCAAGCCCAGAAACTGAAGCCCCCAAACCCTAAACCGTGAGCCCTACATTCCCACCCTGCTTGGGCTGTTCCCACCCATTACAAGGATGGGGGGTTTAGGAATTTTCGAGGTCAGGGTTTCGTGTTTGAGGGTGTTTGGGTTTCGGGTTCAGGGTCAAGGGTTTGGGGGTTCAGGGTGTATGCAGCCTTCTTGCAGTCAAGGGGCAGAAGCAACCCCAAAAACAACCTGACCAAACGCCTAATGGGAACGTTCCAGGGCTTAGCCCCCTGCCTTCTCCCCTCCCTTAATCCTAGACCTTAAGCCCTGAACCCTGAACCCTATATTGCCTAAACCCACCTTAATTGAACCCTCGACCTTTACACCCTACCCCCCCTACAAACAGTAAACCCTAAACCGCAAGCCCTCTACCTTAGCACCCTAAGGCCCTAAACCTGAAACCCGAACGCCTAATCCCAAAACCCGAAGCCACAGCTCAGACACCGGACATGCCAGGGTGCTGCTCCACGACTCAAAGTGGAGCATGAGCTACCCCAGGCGGATAATTAGAGTCCCTCTTGGGGGTCAGGGTTCAGGGTTTAGGGCTGAGGGCTGAGGCTTTAAGGCTCCAACCCGAAGCCTTCTCCCCAAAGTCTCAACCCTAAACCCTCAACTCAAAACCCAAAGCCCTGTAGTTCCCATATAGGCCCTAAGGTGTAAGCCCTGGGCCCGTCGCCAGGTTTAGGATTGAGGGTTCAGGGTCTAGGGTTTATCAAGCTCAGGACTGAAGGTTTTAAGGGTTAGGTGGTTCTCGGGTTTGGGGTTTGGGGTTTTAGGGTTGAGGGTTGAGGGTTGACGCTCTAGGGCATAAAGGTCAAAATTGAAGGTTCAGGGTTTAGTGTTTCGGGTCTAGGGTTTCATGTTTAGGGCTTACGGTAGAAATTGTCTAAACCCTAAAAACCCTAAAAACCCTAAAAACCCCTAAAACCCTATAAACCCTATAAAGCCTATAGACCCTAAACCCTCACCTAAACCTAAAGCCCTAAACCCTATGCTACTTGCATCAGCCGCAACGCATGTGGGTGCAGCAAATAAAATTTCCCTAAGCCCTAAACCCCAAATTTATGTTTACCCTAAATGCGACACCGTAAACCCGAAACCCTAAACCCTACGTACATATGGAGTTCCAGGGATGGCCCTCGGCCCTGCTCCCCTTGTCAGGTTTTTCGCCGTCCTCGCGATCTTCTGCGCGCGCTTCTGTGCGCTCGGCAAGGCCCGTGGGAACGGCTCCGAGCCCAGAACCCCAAACCCCAAACCCGAAACCCCTAAACCAAACCCCTAAATCCTAAACCCCCAAACCCCCAAACCCTTAAACCCTAAACCCCAAAACCCCGAAACCCTAAAACCTAAACCCCCACAACCCCAAAACCCTCTCCCAAGACCTTAAAGTGCAGAAGCCGAAATCCCCTCATTGTCCTTTACCCCGTGCGTTTAGGGTCTAGGGTCTAGGGGTTTAGGGTTTAGGGGTTTAGGGTTTAGGGTTTCGTCCTTACCTCCCAGGTTTAGGGGTTTGGGTTCAGGGAGCTGGTGCCATTTCCTCCTCTGTGGCCCCTGCGAACTGATAGAATGGTTTACGGTTTTGGGTTTAGGGGTTCCCAGACTGGGGGCACCCCTATGCCCCCAAAATACTGTACCAGAATACCAAATTCTTGGAACCCCAAAACAGGGTACCCCTGCTTTCGGAGACCCCCATATGGCCGATTTGGAATGAAGTCAGTGTGTAAAAGTCACAGCACTGTCATGTAGTGGGCAAGACGTGTCCAGTTGCTGCAGCCCTAAACCCGAAACCCCTCTTTTCCCAACCCTAGATCCTGGAACCCTAACCCCTCCCCCCCCCTCACACACCTCGAAAGCCCCGGCAGCCCTAAATCTGAAACTCAACTCGAGCCGAGTCCTACACCCCCCTCAACTACTAAAAACCCCCTAAGCCCTCAAACCCTCAAACCCTAAACCTAAACTCTGAAACCCTAAACCCTGAAACCCTACACCCCAAGCCCTACAACCTTGCACCCGAAACCCGAAACCCGAAACCCGAAACCGAAACCCTAGACCCTAAACCCTAAACCCCTTAACCCCCGCCAGGTCTTGTCCAACTCGCAGACGGGCGTCGGCTTGGCCGTGCTTCTCGGAGAGCACCTCCCAAGACCCCAAGAGCCCTGTTAAGGGTTTAGGGTTTGGGGTTTAGGGTTAGGGGGTAGGGTTTAGGGTGTTAGGGTTTCGGGTTTCCAGTTTGAGTCTGGCTTTCGGGGATTAGAGGTTTGGGCTGTTTGGGGTGTAACAATTGGATTGCATTTGCCTAGTACTGTATCACCAAATGGTTCAACTCATTGTTCGAAATATCCAACACAACATTATTGGAATGTAAACATGTTGTCATTTTTGAATTGTGTTTTGGATTGTACAAAGTACTCAACAAAAACACAATAGATAAGCATGAGGTTTGGAGCTTGCGTGTCGCACCAAGAAGATTGCTGATAGGAACTTCATTTCAGAAGCCCGAGACATATCAACCAGCTCTTCTTTTGCCCGCACGTGGTCGTCTGCCTCGGGGTGTGGGGTTGCGGTTTGTGCTCAGGGTTGCCCGAGAACAGCAAAGGTTGGCCATGTTCCTCGCACAGCTCCTGGAAGACTTCTGCTGCCTCATCCTACAGTGCCTTGGAAAATCAAAGCCCGCACCCCCCCAAAAACCGCCACCCCAAACCCTTAACCCTTGACATTAAACCCTCACCCCAGACCGCCAAGCCCTAAACCCCGCACCCCTGCAGATTTCAGGTTGAGGGGCAAGGTTTCAGGGTTGCAGGTTTAGGGTTTAGGGTAGAGAGCAGTTTCAAAAAACATGTTCGGGCTTTTCTCACCCCTAGTTCTGCTAAGCCGTCTGACCAGTTCGGGCTCATTGGGTTTAGGGTGCTGGACAAGTTATACCAATCTTGAACCTGTGATGTACAAGGAAGCAGTGCAAGGCTTCATCTTCTAGGCGAGAGAGCTTGTGCGCCGAGGTGTACCGGTCTACGTTTGGGCCGACGCCGAAGGCATATGTTTGCAGGCGATTTCGAGGCAGGAAGGGTATCGTCCGTCATCCCCTCGGACGAGGTGACTAGAGCTACTTCTGTCAAGGAAGAGTACGATCGCATCTTAGCGGCTTTTGACTTCGCATATCAGCTCGGCATGACCTACGACACACTGCCTTTCTGGATGCACTTCGTCGTCAGCGCGGCAGTGCAGCTGCACACCATCTTGGCTCTCATCTTCTTCATCAACGGCCTGAACTATATGTTGGGCTTGTGTGCGACACCACGATACTATGGCCAAGGGAATGCACGATTGTGGTGGCCGATAACTGATACAGACAACTTCTGTGCTGCTGGCTAGATCAAGATTTAGCGTGCCATTCGGGGCCTGAGGAGCCCCCTAAACCCTAAATGATCAACCCTAAACCCTAAACCCGAATCCCTAATCCCTAAACCCTAAACCCTGAACCCTAAACCCTAAGCCCAAGACCCTAATTGGGAGGGCGGTTGAGGCTCAGTGGTTGAGTCGCTCCCGACTTGTAAGGGCTCTCTATGAAACTCCGAGCCTGCTTGCCACAAACTCTAAGGGTTTAGGGTTTAGGGCTTGGGGTTTAGGGTTTGGGGTTTAGGGTTTAGGGTTTAGGGTTTCGGTAATCAGGGTCGAGGGCAGACAGGTATCTGGCCAGCAGAATTTTCAAGGCTTTTTCTTTCTCTGACCCAGACCGGTCGCTTGGTTCCCGGGGTACGCTGTGAGAAGAGTCAGTCTGGTCCCTCGGAGCTTTAATTCGCGCGGGCCCTTGCCTCCCATTGGGGCAAGTACCCCTGGGTTTACGGTTTTGGGGCTTCAGGGCTTAGGCTTGTAGGGCTTTTGGAGTTTTGGGGTTTCGGGGTTTTGGGGTTTTCGGATTTCGGGGTTTGATGGATTAAGGGGTTTGGGGCGTGCAGACCCTAACATTAGGAATGTTGGTGTGTGTGTGTGTAGGGTTTGAAGGTTTAGGGTTTAGGGTGCAGGGTTTAGGGTGCAGGCCTAAACCTATGGTTGACAGGTTTCATTTTGAGGTTTCGTGCTTTCCGAATACCTTTGTTGGGTTTGAGGGCCCTACGCGCGGCACATCCTGTGAGAGGCATCTGTGAAACAGAAGTCGAAAACTCTGGTACCACAGCTGCTCCCATTGCCCAAATCAAGCCCTAAACCCCAAACCCTCGACCGGAAACTACCGAAAGCCCTCAACCCAAAAAGGCCTGCACAACCCTGAGCCGACGGTTGAAGTTTTAGAGTGTCCAGGATATATCGGGATTAGGACTATTTGCTTGAGAACCCCCCTCAAAAGAAAAAAAGATGTTCTTCTGCATAAGTTCAATAAAGGGATTATTCATTGATTATCCTCTTTCACTTTTCAGGGCTTCTTAGGCAAATAGGTTTGTGGTTCCAGAGGTTTTGAGGGTTTACGACCATCTAGGGAAGACTCGCCCCTAAAGCCCAAAAACGCGGAACTCGACTCCTAAATCAGCCCCGAAGACCCTAGAACCCTTGAAGGTCTAGGCGTCCAAAGGAGCCGAATGATAAGCCACCCCAATTTATTACCCCCTAAACCTGAGAAACCCTACGCACCAGAGCCTAAGTCCCAAAGGCGAAACCCTAAGCCCTCATGAAAAGAGTCCCCCGAACCCCTAAACCAACAACAACTGCTTTGTCAAGAGAAGCGGGGCAGCTGAGAAAGAGGCAACGGCACCCCGCCAAGCGGAGTGAGCAGGTGCAGGTGCAGGCGAGAACAGAAAGTGCTTGTACCCTAGCCCCTAAGCCCTAAAAGCTGAACCCTAAGCCCTAAACCCTCAAACCATGTGTATATATATATATATATCTGGAGATATATATATATATATATATATAGGGAAATATATATATATATATATATATATATATGCATGCCTCAGTGCTTTGAGAGCCCTGAACCCCGGCAACCTCCCTCTTACTTGGCGGGGGTGGCGGGGGGGGGGGGGCGGGCGGGCTTCTCGGGAATGGCTCAGCCAGACTCGGTCTTTATGGGGGGTTTAGGGTGAAGTTGAGGGTATCGAGCCTAGAGTTTAAGTGTCGGGTCTGTTAAGGGGTCGGGCTTGGAACTCCTTAGCTGCCCGGACTGCGTCTTCTGGCAAAGGACCCAGCTGCCGAGAGGTTTCTACGCCGGGACACTGAAGCCCATTTAAGGCTTTAGGGTCTCGGGTTTAGATCTTTAGGGAGCAAGCTCCTAATCCCTCAGCCCCAAGCCCTGAGCCCGTTTCATTTCGGTAGCGACTTGGCTCCTGCATGTGCGGTTGGCGATTGCCAAGAGCCTTGGAAGCTCGCACTAAACTGAAGCCTGAAGCCTGAACTCTAAACCCTAAACCTTAAACCCTAAACCCCAAACCCTAAATTCCCCAAGTCCCAAACCCTCCGCCCTTGTCTCCCAAACCACGCGACAACTTAAAAGCCGAATGCTAAACCTCCTGAGCCCCCCCAAGATAAACCTGCGAGAGTTGACCCCACTTGGATTTACCAAACCCCCTAAACCCTCAACCCTCAACCCTCAACCCTCAACCCTCAACCCTCAACCCTAAACCCTAAACCCTAAACCCTAAACCCGAAACCCGAAACCCGAAACCCTAAACCCTAAACCCTGAACCCTGAACCCTGAACCGCCCAAACCCTACACCCTAAAGACTGAACCCTAAACCCCAAGCCCGAACCACCTCGAAGCCATGGATGGTGGCGTGGATGTGACGATTTCTACCGACTCTGGGCGGCGGCTCACCAGGAGCTTTTCGGCCAGCAGCCCCTTGGCACCCGCAACCTGAATGGGACCTGGGTTTCAGGGTTCAGGACCTAGGGGTTTAGGATTCTCTAAGGATCTGGCAAGGTCCCCTTCCCACCGGCAGACTCAAACCATCGAACATCTAAACCCTGAACCCCAAACCCTCAAGCCCATCCCCCCTTCCCCCCAAAAAATCAAAATAAAGAACAATCACCCTTTGAGGGGTTGGGAATCCTACTTTCCCTGTGTCTCTATAGGAATTCTGTTGAAAGCCGCTCAATAGGAGTGGGATGTCGGACTGCCACGGGTTGCCCAAGGCCCTCAACCTGGATCCAGCACTCAACCCTCAACATCAAGTCTCATAGTCACTTCCGAACCCTCCGCCTAAACCCTAAACTCTAAACCCCTAATCCCCTAAACCCCTAAACCCCCTAAACCCCTAAACCCCTGAACCCACTGCCAGAGGGCCCCCAGCGCTGAGGCACCACCAAGGACCTCAAGCACTTCCTGGCAAAGGAGTCCGCGGCCCTGGACAGTTCTTGAAAGCATGTGTTTGGTAGGGTTTAGGGTTGAGGGTTTCGGGTTTAGGGTTCAGGGGCTTATGGTTTCAGGCCTTCTCAAATGGAATACCTCCTGCAAAGTCCTTTCGATCAATCCGCAGTGCACCCCAAAACGTAAATCCCCAAACAATGTTTGTTTGGTTGGCCGAAACCCTAAACCCTAAACCCTGAACCCTCAACCCCAAACCCTTAAGGACGCCCAACAGACAAGGCTACCCATGGGGCGAATCCCTCATCGGCTTCGGCGGTTTAGGCTTCTTCAGGTTCGGTTCAGGGGTTTAGCGTTTTCGGTTTGGGCTTAGTGCGTTTTACGGTTGGGATCTTGTTGCGGATGGGACAGCATGCCGACATCACTCGAGAAGGGCAGCTCCCAGCTCCCAGCTAGCTCCCACTCTAAGGTTAGGCTTGTAGGTTTCAAATGTCTCAGGGTGGGTGGTATTTCTCCCGAGCGAGCCGAGGGCGCTTTGAGGATAGTTTTTTACAACCGCTGCCCACAGGAAGTCGATGAGCGCACGTCGGGTGAACCCAAAACCCTAAACTAGCGCTTCAACCCTGAGGCCCTTTCCTTTTTCGGCCTGTCAAAAGAAGTTGCCCCGTGCTTGCTGCTCACCGAAGCTTGGCTGAGCATCAGGGTGGCCCACGCCTGGGAGACTTAGGGTTTCGGAGTCTCGGGGCTTATTTGGGGTTTCGGACAGAGCCATGGCCTTATCCGTCTCCAGCCTCCTGTCTAGCGATGACTACGAGCACCGAACCTGCGGCATGCAGCACGGGCTGCTGGCTCAGGTGGGCCTCTTCTTTTTATTGGTGTGAGGGTTCTCGTATTTTACAAGGTAATTGAACCCGTAAACCCGACACCCTAAATCCTAAACCCGATCTTACAAGGTACCCGGAAGACCTTAAACTTAATTCCTAAACCCTATATAAATCCGAAGCTGTTTTTTAGTTGATCTTGAATCTTAAACAGCCAGGTGCGTGTGGCCATGCAGGCCTTGCCCGATGAGGGGCCTGCCCAGGACTCCTGAAAGCACCCGAGCCCTGAAGTAGGCCTCATTTTGAAGGGTTTAGGGTTTAGGGTTTAGGGTTTAGGGTTTAGGGTTTAGGGTTTAGGGTTCAGGGTTTAGGGTTAGGGCGTGCCAAACGGAGGCGCACTTTGTGAGATGTCAAAGCACATTCGCTTAAGACTCTGGAATCACTTTGGTTCACTTGGGGCGCTTGGGACACATGGAACTGCTGGGTGACTTGGGACACTTGGGCCACTGGGCACACTTGGGACGTTTGGGACACTTGGGACACTTGGGACACTTGGGACACTTGGGACACTTGGGACACTTGGGACACTTTCAAAAGAAGGTGATAAAGGGGTGTAAGACCTACACTTTAAGGCGGGTTCTGGGAACAGTTGAATGTGTTAAATCGCACAGGGTGCAAGCCCCTAAACCCCAATTCCCCCAATCAGGAACTCTGCCAGAAAGTGCTGGACCTGCTTCCGGGAGCCCGTGCAGGCGTCCTCCTGGCCCCAGCTATGGGTGGCTCCGCTGGCAGTTTTAGGGGTATATATATCTTTCTCCCAGGTAGTTGAGCCCCACCGGAGCCCCCAAGCCCTCAACCCCCTAAAATATCCAAACCTTAAAGCCCTCAAGACTACACACCAAAGCCCCGAACCCCAGTCCCTAAACCCTCAAACCTAAGCCCCAAAACCCAAAAGCAGTAAGGCAAGGCCTTTGCCAGTGCCGTGCGGGGTGAGGAGCCGGACTTGGTGGCACCTGGGCTAAGAGGTGTGTAGGGTTTAAAGTTTCGGGTTTCGGGTGAGCATTTCAAGTCCAAGCATTCACTAGTCAAGCCGCTTGCCCCGCGTCGGAATAATACTCACGTAAAACGTTGCACCGGGGGGGGGGGGGGGGGGGGGGGGGGGGGGGGGGGGGGGGTGGGGGGTTGGGGGGGGGGGACACTGGTCGGCTGGCGGGGTCCGTCGCCCGCGCGGGTGAGTAGAATCTGAAAAGTTCCCTAGACCTATGTCCCGGCCTGGGGCCTTCATGGTGCGGCGTGCTTTGACCTCGCCGTCTCCAGCGGTTTGCGCTCCTCTGTCCTTGCCGCTTCCGCTTGTGACGGTTCTAGTGCTGCAGCCACGTACGAGAGCCGCAAGCGATCCCATCTTGCCACTGAGGCGCAGTGCCGTGCGGCGCGTCTACAATTCCTACCGCTGGTTGCAGGTCTGGAAGTCCTTGGCTGCTCTTGGGGCGGCGCGCTCAGGGCTTACCCCGGCCCAGGCTCATGATGAGTTGCTCCAACAACTGGGAGTCACCCTCCAGCACAAAAACGCGCGCGCGCCGTACTACGTCGCCTTGCCTCTGAGGAGGCCGTTGCCCCAGCCCTCCCGGGATGTTGAGCTGCCTTACATGCCACTTTGTCATCACGCCACGGATGTAGTCGCCCACCGCCCGGCTTTTAACCTGACAGACCTTTCCGCCAGCTGCGTTTCTTCGTGCACATGCCCTGGCCTCCGCTTGGGTCCGTCAAGCTCTTGCATCATTTTTAGACCCATTGGCAAGCGTGGTGCTGGAGTTCTCGCGGGACGCCGGAGACTCGTGCAGGTGTCGGGGGCTTGCCCTACGGCCGACCATGCTCTCTGCCTTAGTGTGCGATGGATGCATCCTGCATCACCTGGGCATTTGCCGGTAGCGAGTTGGGCTTAAGAGGACCAGTTTTGTCCCACCCTCAGAAGTAGGCGTGGAGAGAACTCTTTCGCGGAAGATAGAAGTTGCAACTCCAGATGACAGCTGCCCTAGACCTAAACGCCTCAGGCTTTCGGCCTCGGCGGATAAACAGTTTACGTTTTTCTTTTCAGACGGACTCAGAGGCAAAATCACACGCAGCTAAGACGTACCTAAGCCCTATACCCCCTAAACCCTATGCCCAGACCCTAGGGCCCCAAAACACAAAGCCCCAAATTGGCCACCCAGAAATTGCCAGTTGCAAACTAAGAAATGACAATTGCCCACCAAGAGAAGGCAATTGCTCACTAAGCCAATAGGGTTGAAGGTACATACAGAAAGAGATGTCAAGGGTTTAGGGTTTAGGGATGTTTAGGGTTTGGGGGCTCTGGGGTTTTGGGAGTTTAGGTGTGTTGGGTTTTTTTGGGCTTGGGGGGCTTGGGGGAAGCTAGTCCTCTCAGGTGTGGCTGCTGCCAGACCCGACCGATGTCGACTCCAAGCAGACCACTTTCGTGAAGACCGGTGCAGAGAACCTGGAGGAGACTTTCAGTGCAATGTACAAGCTCTCATGGCCAACGCCCCCTGACGTGGCGTAGATGGCTTGGTTAGGGCTTAGGGATGCTTTATGCCGAAGCTCGTCCGGCGCAGCTGCCTAGCACAGCCAAGGTGCAGCCTGCCGCTTTGTGCCCATATTGACCCTACTTCTTAAGCTCCTGAAGGCTCTATGCAAAAAGGCCACCCCTAAACCCTGAGCCCTTCTAAATACACTCTTAACCCCAAAAAATCCCCAACCCTGCAAGACAGCTGCTGAGACGACCGCGCGCAGATGGCGAGTCCAAGGCTTGCGAGCCTTGCGTGGCTTTTGTACAGTGGAAGCCGAAGACGCAGAGTTGCCATCCGCCTGCCGCAGGGACAAGAAAACATGCCCCTGGGGGTATAAGGGGGTTTAGGGTTTAGGGGTATAGGGTTTAGGATCTTGATCTGTTTCGCAGGTTCCCGTAAACCTTTCCCCGGAAGGAGCATTGGGCATGATTTAGTGGGTTAGTTCAAGAAAGGTCAATGTTCCCTACAACCGTCAGCCCCTTTGCCTAAAACGTTTCGTCGTCGCAACCAACCCTAAATCCTAAGCCCTAAGCCCCACACCTAACCCTAAAACCAAAACCCTAATCCTCAACGCTGCAAATCCAGCCCTGGTGACGTAAGGTGGTCCATCCCTGTGGTGTGCCAGGCGCTTCCGGACTTCGGGTCTAGGTTTAGGGTTTAGGTTTTTTAGGCAATCTGGGCCGAAAGACCCCTGAAGCCTTGAAGCCCTTAACCGAACTGGATGTTCAGGAAAGCAACCACCCCAAATGCTCAACGGCTTCAAGGCCTGTTAGGTCAGACCCTCATACAGGAAGAGCGGAGCAAAATGAAAGTTATGACTAGGTCCTAAGGATTGCGGGGGCCTATTCATCCCAACATCAGACTAGGGCCCTAAAGCTCCTCGTTGCGCCCTGAACCCGATGAACCCCGACGCCCCCTAGATTAAGCCCCGAAGCCCCTAAGCCTCTACGGACCCCCAGATTAGTCTCCGCCACCTCAAGACTTTTCCGCGCCTCTGTCCCCGAGAGGCCGCACGCAGCTCTAGACCCTCTTGAAACCCAGCTGCTGAAGCCTTCAACCTGCACCACGAAACCTGAGCCCCATTCGGATAAGCGCCAAGCCCGTGGAAGTTGGAGCCTTTAACCCTAAACCCTAAACCTTAAGCCCCAAACCCCAAACCCTAAACCCAAACTCCTGGAGCTTTCCTGTTGGAGGCTTTGTTTTTTGGCCCCGTGCTGCTTTCCGACTCCGACAGCATCACGGAGGCAAGACCCTACCAGGGGATGGGGCCTTCCTGATATCAAGGGGCTCGGACTCGTAGCTTAAGGTTGAAAGGTTCCACTGAATATGCTCCCCTTAAGGATCTTTGAAACGGGTCCCCATGACCCAAGGGGACAACCTTAAGGGTCCAAGGTACAACCCCCAGAATCTAAAGGTAGTTGGATGCATATGGTCGCTTACCCTCTTCTTAAAGGGCTCAGAAGTACAGGCCCTTCGTTTTTATAGGGGTGCCCATCTACCTAGATGAAGAGTGTAAGGTTCTGGGACTGACAGCTGGCTTGGGGCTCTGGGGTTTGGGATTTGGAGGTAGATAGGGCGTGGGGTTTGGGGTTTGGTGTCTGGGGCAGCTTCGGGTGGGAAGTCTCCATGGTCCATAGCAAGAGGCTCGCAAACGGGCGTAGGGCAGATAGGTGTAAGGGGGAAGTGCCCATATTCCCCAAATCTTACCCCCCCCCCCCTCCGCCCTCTTCCAGGGTTCCTCATGATTTTCCCGCTGGAAGCTGTCCTAAATGAGGTTGTAAACATCAATCATCTAGTTATGACGATCGTTGGCCAAGCTCGTTTCCCCCTAGACACCCCTACTCGCGTCCCTAACTTATAGCCCTAAGCCCTAAACCCAAAACCCAAAACCCTAAAACCTCAACCCAGAGCTTTCGAGGTCGCTGGCGGTGCGACGGTTGTCCTGGAACTGCGCGCCTCCTTCGGCCTCCTCGCTGCTTGGTCGGCGGATGCCCTCAACCCAAAAGCCCCTGCACCCTAAGTGCTACACCCTACACCCTGAACCTAAACCCTAAACCCTAAACCCTAAACCCTAAACCCTAAACCCTAAACTCTAAACCCTAAACCCTAAACCCTGAGAAGCTTCTCTGGGCCAACTGTATGACTCCAAGAGCCACGATGTGCACCTGGGTGAGCGAGGGTGGTTGTTCTTTTTTTTTTGCGCCTCAAGGCTACACTCTGCATCCTTAGCCCTAAGCCCTCCTCACCCAGGAGTCCGCATACCCAGAGCCACCCTCCTCCGAGCTCCCGATTGGTGCGCTGCCGACGCAGTGCCCTGGCTGGTGGGTTTCGGATCGAGTTTAGGCTTCAGGTTTAGGGAGTGAAGATGTTTAGGGACTCTTGCGAATGTAGGAGTTTAGGGAGCCAAAGGAGTTTAGGGACTTTTGCGAATGTAGGGAGTTTAGGGAGCTTAGGGAGTTTAGGGAGTTTGGAGAGTTTAGGGAGTTTAGGGAGTTCAGGGAGTTTAGGGTCATTGAGGGAGCGTGTGCCAAAAGCACTCAGGCGCGGGGCGCCGAATCGTGTATCCCCCCCCCCCCTCCCCCGCTTGCGCTCCACCACCATTGCGGGTTTAGGTTGAACCTAAGACCACCAAAAGCCTGAGACTGCCAAGGCCCCAATGCCCTGCTGAGCAGCCTAAGACCCTACAATGCTTAAATCTAGAGCCCTCAACCCGAGAACTCTTTAAGCCCTAAGCCCTAAAACCCTAAGCCCTAAACCCCAAACCCCAAACCCCTGGAGCTCCTAAAGCCCTAAGCCCCTTCAGGTACACTGCTGCCTCTGCTGACTACTGGGCTGACAGGCCAAGGCCCTCGAGCTCTACCGGCAGCATCCGAGAAATCTCTAACAAGAATCGATAAGCCCTAAAACCCTAAAGCCTTCAACCCCAAACCCTGAAGCCTAAACTCTAAACCCCTTACGGGAGGTAGGCTTTGAGGGTTTCAGGTTTGGGGTGTCGGGTTCAGGGTTTGGTCTCGCGCGGGTGGCTTTGAGGATTTATGTGGTCCGAAGTCCCAGACATCTAAAATCCGCGAGGACTCGATCTAAACCCTAAACCCTCTGAATGCCAAACCCTGAACCCTAAACCCAAAATCCTGAACTCCCTAAAGTCCATTTGGTACTCCGGCTGTTCAGGGGGGCTCTGCAGGTCTCCCCCAACGCGCGGTGACTTCCCACAGACTGCCGTGGCCAAGGCTTGGGGTTACGGTTTCGGGGTTTAGGGCCCCAAACTCTAAACCTGAGCCCTAAACCCCAAACCCTAAACTTTTGTGGGTTTTTTTTTTGCCTTCGGCTTTTAAGGGGGAGGCAGCTCCTTGCACATGTTTCGCCTTTAGGTCATAATCATAGGCTTTTCCTTCATTCTTCAGCGAAAGCTAGGTGTACGTATGTTGGCTGCATGTGCAGCCCAGCGATTGTTACGAAGGTCCGAACCCCTGAGACAGAGGAGGTTCCTCCACCACTCCCGAAGTCCTAAGCCCTGAAGCTCTATAAGCCCGAAACCCTAAATCCCAAACCCTGAACCCCGAACCCTGGCTGCGGTTCAGGGATCTTCAGAATTCTGGATGCAGGATTTGGGGTTCAGGGTTTGGGGGGGCGAGGGGTGGGGTGTTTTCGAAAGTTTGGGGTCTGGGGTTTCGGGCTAGATTGTGTTTTTAAATGCGGGCTTTAGGGTTTTTTGTTTCGAGGTGCTGGGGGGTTCCCGAATGTAGGATTCCAGAAAGCCTCAAACCCACATAGCGCCGGAGGCTGCGCCACCGGTGAGCCTCCTGGACAAGCTTACTGCCCAGGCCTGGCACTAAAGGGGGGATCTTGGACGTGTTTCTTCCGTGTTTGGTTGAGTCCCAGCAGAATCCAAGTATGGTATGGGATGCTGTGTCAGCTGGGATGTGCTGCGATGGTGGCTTCGTTTGTGACTGTGGGACGATGTGACAGGCTAGGTCACAGCTGAGAGCTCAGGCTCTTGCTTAGGACACTTGCAACGCTTTCGAATGAAGTTTCAAGTTGATAAAACAAGGAATCAACGGTGGAAAAAGTCACCTCAACCATTGGTTAGAACTTTCTTTGGTGTCAGGCTCCTAAATCTCAGGAGCTCCTACAAACAAAAAAACTGCTGCTGCAACCTAAACACTCAACCCTAACCTAAACCCTAAACCCTAAAGTTAACTTCTGCAAGTGCCGCGACTTCTCTCATGAGCTTGCACCAGGAAAGGGGGAGCTGTTCTTCTCAAAATGGGAATCCTTACTGCAGGAAGCAACTGAGTTGTGCAAACATCACTACAGGAACCCACTGGAATTTCCTGAGGCCCGAAACCCTACGAGCTGAAAGCTCCCAGCCCTACGCAACCTGCGCAACTCGAACCCTAAACCAACTCGAACCCTAAATCCCAGCCGGTTCGGGGTTTGGGTCGTAGCGTTTACGGTTTAGGGTTTAGGGTTTAGGCTCCTAAAGCACAGCAGGCACGTCAGATCCACGCCATGGAGACACGACTGGCGTCGTTGCAGGAGGCGGGACGTCGGAAGGAGCAAGAGGGGGTTGATTGGGGTTAGGGTTTAAACTCACCCTAAACCCTAAACCCTAAACCCTAAACCCTAAACCATAAACCATAAACCCTAAACCCTAGGGTCTAGGACTTTAGAGTGGTTCAGGACTTTAGGGTTGACAGACCCTCCAGGTTTGAGGTTTCACCTCAAAGCTGGAGGTGGCTGAAGTGGGCGTGGACCCCAAAAACCGAAACCCTAAACCCTAAACCCTAAACCCTAAACCCTAAACCCTAAACCCTAAACCCTAAGCCCTAAACCCTAAACCCTAAACCCGGCACATTGCTGCCACACTTTTTCATGAGCCTTTTTGAAAGCAGCGCTGGATCGCAGCGCCCTGAAGCACTAGACCCTGAACCCTCAGAACCCTCCGAACTCTCAAGGCCTCAAGGGTTTCGGGTTCAGGGTTTAGGATGTG